GCCTTATCAGATTTCAGCTTGCCAAGTTTAGAGGTGGAGTAAGGAGGTGTTTTGGATTTAGTGGCAGTTATGAAGACAACAATTGATTCTGTTCATATAAACAAAGTCAATCTATATTAACGGCATCCACTACTTATGATTTAGTGACCCAGACACTTTTTGAATAAAACATGTAATTCACGGGTTATTTACAGTTTATATTAAATAAATTAATTATGATATCTTCCAGTATGTCAAGTTAAAAAGATACCGAAATAAAATTGTGCACGTGTTTACTGTGAACTGCCTTTCATTTGAACTGGAAGTGAGTTTGATGCTAATCGTTCCTGAAAAAATGCATAGCTACATTCGAGCTCTGTTCGATGGACGGTGAAAGCTTCATTGTCAATTTCTGCGCCGGCTAGATAAATGCGTGCTTTCTGACATTGTTTTCATACTCAAACCAATTCTTTCTCAAATGACAATGAGGCAAGATTATCTTGCTTAACTCTTCACCGTAATCGCCTTCATGTGGGACATTTCAACGCGATAGCCAATGCAGACAAGAATCCTGGAGATGCGACAAAAGCAAATCCCGCGCCTGCTCGAAATCTTCCGGTTGAAGAAAATTTCTGACACTCCTGTAAAAACCGAAAGCCTTACACCTGAATTAAATACGATGGTCGTACTAGAGTTCGTTTTTAATACGGCAACTTTGATCTAATTTGTCGTACAACAATAAATTTTTACATTCGACGTTGCTACAATTTCTCTTCCCTTTTTGCATCATCTGTGAAACTAAATAAACTTCCTATTAAAGAACGACTTATTCGCTACAAGTCACCTGACTTTCAAATCTTATCGCATGCATTTTAACTTTACAACAAATCAATCATGTTTACTCTGACAGATTCTCTGGCAATAATTACAAACAATCTGCTTTCTATTGGCGTCATCACATTTTTGACTTTCGTTTTCATAAGAGGACTGAAACGACCCGACGCTGAAGGTGTTAGCAGAACGTAATTCTGTTTTGACATTTGCATTATTAATGATAAGCTGCACTATGATTAACATGCTATGTAACCAGATGAACAAAGTATAATTAAAGAGAATAGTCGATATCTTACAATACGTGGCAAACGCCTTCGTGTTGTGTGTATGATATTTGACCCGGATGCACCCATCATATACTTTATACACGGACTAGGTGGACAGGTAAGCGCAAACATGTCCGTGATCACCAGTTAGATAAAATAAAATCTTCAACGGTTCTGCTTACGTAGGCAATGCAATGGGAATGTCAAATAGAATATTTTCGTCACAAGCGATTTAACGTTCTCGCAATGGATCTGGTGGGTGCTGGTAAGAGTGAAGTATCATACAGGTAGTGTGCTTTACAATGGATAATAGTGTCGCATATGGCAATCTTTTACCGGATCATACATTTTAACATCTGAAACCCTTACAGTTGGGATGATTATATAACCGAATCACTTGTCGATGATTTATATGAAGTTCTCCAGGGCTATCCCGACAACAAGATAATACTGGTTTGCCATTCGTATGGATGTTGTCTTGGCGCTAAACTATATCCTAAAATAAAAGACCGGGTCAAGGGGATGGTGATTATCTCTGCCAAATTGGAGTTGACAGAGACTAATGACAAGAGCCGAAAGACTATAGCGAATCTGCCCAATGTAATATTTGAAGCTCTGCGTCTTCTTGATCGATGGGGTGGCACTAGATCACTTAGCGTCAGAAGGATGATAAGTCCGACAGCAAGTGAGGATGTTAGGAGAAAGCAGCTGACATGGAATGAGCAATCTAGGACGCCCGTGTTTAAGCGAATGATGGGCGGGATGGTGTGGCTTACTCAGGATGATTGGAGAGCGGTAGATTGCAACCTACTAATGATTAGTGGGAGTGAGGTAAGCATAAACAGTGTTAGATTTATATCATATAATACAAATTGTAACAACCGAGTTATATCTTCTATTGAAGGATGAAATATGTCCTCCCGATAACCTTATGAAGGCAGTCAAGACATTTAAGAACGTTCTTGTAATGAACGTTGATGATACAGGACACATGCCAATGGTAGAGCGGCCAGACGATGTTAATGATGCTATTAATGAATTCATTGGTCAACTATCAGACTGAACGGCCAAATCAATTGAATATTCAGCATACACGTGCCGGTTGTGTGATAACATTTGGGTATGCCATATTTAATTTGAGGCTCGTTCATTATTCCGACTTACGATATTGATTGTATACGATAACGAGTTTGCCTTGCAATCTCAAGACCTGGATCAGACTGACAAAAAACTTTCACAACTAACGTCTGCACATCAGAACGTATTGCAATCTTACATTTATCTGGAGATTCTGGTAATTTGACCTCCAGTTTCAAGAACGTGGATAAGAAAAACACAGATTTAATAAAAAGACACCTATTACTATCCCAAGGCTCGAGATAATGCAAAGTCACCAATACGCTTTCTTTCAAGTATTAGTATAGGTCCCGCCGAAATATGATTTTGAATAAAGATCCCACTTGATCCATATGGTGAGGATGACGAACCCCTTTAACCGGTCATGCAGGTCGCGGATATGCACATCGCCCCGCATTAGTTCTTTTACGTGGTTAGTATTAGGCAAAATTAAACAATTTCAACCAGTTCTGATCAATAGGGGTTTAAATCCGGCGATTGGCTTGGCCAATTTTAGCAATCCATTCATTAATATCCTTGCAGTCATTATCATCTTGAAACAAATGACCGTTTTATTAAATTATTATTGATCAACGGTTAACATAATGAGAGGTGAATACAGAAGATGAAGAAAGGTCATTAATAGGTTCATTATCTAATGAGGTTCAGACTCTTTATCTGTAATAAGATGATCGACGACCGGATAAACGACTATTAAGCCGAATTGCTTTGCTATTTGGTTCCTTAATTCTTTGGGAAAAGCGAGCCACAAGCAACTCTTATATGTTCACTTCCGAGAGTACTTTGAGTTTCTTACCCCTCCAAGAACACGCGTGCTTGATCGGTGATCTCCGTCAGACTTGCATAATAGATTAGTTTCTACTGAGAGACACAAACTCTTAAATCAAACAGTAATTAGGTTAGTTGCATCATAGAGCTTAACGTCGCCTCATTGTTGTTTAAACGATATTGCCGTGAGTTCTTTAGCGCCAAGACATCCTCAACCTTTGGACAAAGATGGGGAGAATGGGGTAGCCCTGAAAACGTTCTTTGTTGTTGTTCATCATCTGGAGAATGATAATAACCCGTGCATTAAATCTAAAATGCTTGCCAAAGTAACGATATTTTCTATATTAAATCTTGTTTCAAACACGACTTGGACCATCATTCTCTTGAAATGGTTTCGACACAAACCACTCGTCACGCGCACAGCATGACATCATAGTCGTCCAATTGTAGCACGTCACAATCCTCAAAACCAGGGAGTGATAACAATGTACCTTTGTTCTGTTGCGACGCACCAAAAGCCCTGTTATTTTAAGCCTCGGCTTTTCATTTGCCAGCGTGCATTTCAACATAAGAATGTGCAACCCAATACAATAGGGTTCGATTTGTATCCATTCTCAATGCTGCGTATTAAAGTTAAGGTAACATGATTACATGCGAATTTGAGCTCTCATCTGACAATGATCATCGTATCGACAAGAAAAAGTTCGAGTTTCGTTGGATTCACATGTGCGTTTGTGAGGGGGGAAGTGAATGCGGAAGATGGAGTGTTTAATAAAGTGTAGAATATGAATGCTCATATTACAAATATCAGGTGATTGTTGGCCGGCAAGAGATCGTGCCACTAATAACAACAACAATGAATTGGCATTAATATTTCTAAAACCGGAGATTTCTGGTTCAAAACGAATAAGGTCAAAGGCTTCTAAAAATAGAGATTCCTAACTCTTCCCGTGTTTCCGGTGCGTAATAATAATACATAACATAATGATGGGCCATTATTGCGTACTCCCACCTTTTGTTGCACTGAGCACTTAATAATCATAAAAAAATACCTTTTTTTATTTACACTGCATATAATATCAAATAAGAAAAAGAAACAATAGCAAGAAAATACAAATCTTATACAACTATTTCCTCAAGAAGAAAAAAACTGTATGTTAGAGGAAGCAACGTTCTGTGTAAATAAAAAGAATATAGTGTAACATTATTTTCTCTTCTTGGAGCTTATAGGCGCATAGAAAATAAATGGACAAAAGAATAATAGTAACACGGAAAGTGATGGAAAAGGAAATGATCGAATTTAAGGAAAAGAAGGAAAAGAAAAAGAAAAAGAAAAAGAACGTATTAATCGATGCAATTATCTGTTAAGCGTTATAAAACAGGATAATGAAGTGTCGCAGACCAAGATAGAAAAAGAAGAAGATAATATTAAAAGGACATGGATACAAACCATACCTATATCCAATCATCAGCTCTGTTATATCCAATGGAAAACATTAGATATCAATGTCATTACTTCTCTCTTCCTCTCACTTGATCCTTGCCTTCAATTAATCCTAAATGGTATATAAACAATGGAGAGACTACATAAAACTAATAAACTTTGTAGTATATAATCTATCGCACAAGGTTAGGTATTGAATGTAGATACATCTCGAATACTTATATTCTCTTCGATCGAAGATTAGAACCCAAAATTGAGAATATATGCGTATATATGTATATATGTATTATCCCGTTGAAAACGCCAGTATATAAGCAGAAAGTCGATAATGAAATACAAAGGTAATATCACAAAACTATATAAGAAAGAATCAATCGATAACATCGATTGATCACATAAAGGACAATAAAAAACTAAAACTCAATCTTCAAACTATAGTAGGCTATAATAAAACATGTCATAAATTCTATGTCAAGTAAAGATTTCGAACAGTGGATGGAAAAGATGATCGGTATCTAACGCCTCATTTATTGTAGCAAAAATGAGGTGATAAAAAGCAACAATCTCTTGAATTAACAATTGCATGCGCTTCCATCAGTTCTTCTACCGATAGGTCCATTCAATCCATCCGGTTGGAAATCTATTCGACTACTTGATTGATTGAGTATATTTCGTGAACCAGATCGATTAGCTGACATGATGTGTTCAACGGGGATCTTCTTGGCTATTGAATAGGCAAAGTAGAGTTTAGAATACATTCGCAGGGCTCGGAGATGCATGATAAAAACGCAGTATTATAGATATCATAATTATCAATCGTTTCATGCATGTCAGTCACGGCATACGATTTTGACAAAACGATCAACGCCCGACATCTATCTGTTTCTCTCTATCTCGTTTGTCGTTTGGCGAAGAAAAAGTCCACTCACCAATTTCCGTAAAAACATTAACCACACCCTCTCCCTTCTTAGCGCTCGTCTCAAAAAATAGTAATCCAGCCTCGAGAGCATAAGCTTTTGCCTCTTCAGTGGGCACTTCTCGGAAAATGTTAGAGAGTACCTCGGAATCTTCTTGGGGCTCGACCAAGTCTATCTTATTACCAGCAAGAGCGATCACGATGTTGGGATTGGCTTGGCGCTGAAGTTCTTTCACCCAAGATTTGGCTTTGTCGAGCGAAGCCTGTTTTGTTTTTTTATTAAAAAAAAAAAGGTGAGATGTCAATGAAATAGATAACAAGGATTAGGAATAAAGTCAATCTGGCTATATGAATGTATTTGCAAGTCTTTAAGCTTTCACTGATAAAGAACTCTGTAGATACAATCGCTCATCACTCTCAACTTTTACGATGCTTACCGCCTTTGTGACATCATAAACAACGACAGCTGCTTGAGCGTTTCGATAATACATCGGAGCAAGCGAATGGAATCGTTCTTGACCAGCTGTGTCCCAGATTTCAAATTTAATAACTTTATTATCTTCAAGGCGGCATTTCTGCGTAAGAAAGGCGGCTGTAAAAAAAAGAAGAATGACAGGAAATTAACATAGTGATCACGCATTACTATTTATAGTGTTCTCTTTTTCATTGCCCTTATTATCCTCGGGGAGAAAGGATGTTTAGGTTGGATTTACATTTCAAATTTAAGATGAGAGGGAAGAGAGTGGGGTTGGAAAATATGTAGACTCGATAATACATATTAATACATATTACATACCGCCGATAGTAGGTTCCTTGTTCTCGCTAAATTCGTTATTAACAAATCTGAGTACCAAGCTAGATTTGCCGACAGCAGCTTCGCCTATTTATAAAGACAGACAATACAAGTCAGCCGGCTAAATTAGTAAGCATATCGTTCTCGGTACATACTCAATAGACTTGACAGATATTCTACTCTAATACTACCAAAGCGCTTATGACGACTAGGAACAGCCTAAACCGCCAAATAAAACACTCTCGCTGCTCAGTAAATAATAAAAGGCGTACCAAGCAAAACCAATTTAACCTGGACAGGCTTCGCAGATGCTGGCGATGGGGTACTCTCGCTAGTGCGAGTAATTGATTCAGTTATAGCACGTCCGGAATTCGACATTGCTTAATATATGGTCTGTTTGAGTATAACGAAAGAAAATCCTAGGCACCGACTTTGGCCTTTTGGCTGGGTTTTTAAAGTTGAATACGAGGAAATATAAAGGGTGTAGTGAACGGAATAAAAGGAGGTTCCGTGGTTTTCTCCTATTAATATTTTGTTTATTATTGTTTGTTTATTAGTTTTTTTTTTAACTGGTGAACAAGGCTGTTGAGTTATATATGGCTGGTGAGAAGGGGGGGGGGCGATGAGAAAGATGCAACTTAGTCAACCGGCACTATAACAATTGAAAAACGAGATCAGTTGTCACACTCCCAATCCAATTCCATGTGGTGTTTTGAGTGATTGGCGTTGGAGATCTTAATTTGGAAGAGATGAGCAGAGTTCAAGCGGCATGTCTGAATTATCACACCGATACATGTACAGCAAAGCGGCAGGAGCGGCAGGAGGCAAAGAAGAAGAATAATTGTTTTCTTTTGGGTTTGTGATTATTTCGGGAGAGAGAAGGGGGAATGGAATCTAGTCGACATGTGCATACGCATCCATATATTTATTTGCATTTCACATATCAAATAAATAAAGAGTTTTGTGGATTTGAACGAGTACTTGTTTCTTATACATTGACCTTTGAACGAGAACATGCAAAAGTTTGAAACGTCCATTGTCGTCTCTGCCAAAGATAGCAACAAACGTGCAGAAAAGTTCATATTGCACCATTTTCGGGATGTAGTAATATCAAAGGAACTCTGTCGCCAATGCTTCAGACGAGGAGAGATACTCATAAACAACTCTCCCATCGAAACTTCACGAATTCTTCACAAGGATGTCATAGTCCAAGTGTCCATCGACCAGTCAGAAATAAAACGCAGCAGGCTAAATCTGCCTATCACTGTAAAATACGAAGACCATCACCTAGCTGTCGTGCTCAAACCACCCGGAGTTCATATGCGAGGATTGCAGGAGTCGTTGCCTTTTCTGCTTGACAGTAGCAGGAGTATCGCCTCCGAGACGCCGTATTTGTGTATAAACCAGCTTCAGAGGTCAATGAATGGATTGGTAAGTATTTTTTCTTCTTGTATATTGTCGATCTATTATTTATTGAAGAGAAACATTTGACGCCATGTGGATGGAGAACGTTAATTATATGTCTGTGTGTGTGTGATATTTGTTTGTACATATATCATCATTCTTTTTTGGTTCTTTTCTTTGTATTGGTGATATGTGTCGAATAGGTCATATTATCAAAGTCAAGTGAAATGCATAAAAAGCTTTTATCTATGGACAAGTCGGGCGATATCAAATTCAGATATCGTCTAGTCTGTCATGGTAGATTCGACGAAAGTGCAAAGACCGCAGCGAGCAATTGTGAAGATAAAGATGGAAGCAGGGAATCGATTGACAGTGATAACAATGACGTTAGCAAGGAATCGATTGTTGTTGATGACGATAACAATGACGTTTATAACAAGCGTGACACTTTTATCCACAGTACAGGCATTAATAACTCAGCCACCAATGCATCATTACAGCTACCCTTTGCGATTCATCCAATCTCCACGACACGCAGTACATCGGGCGAAAGCAACTACCTGACTACCCTCGACATCGTACACCACAACCATGCACAAGTTTCATTACCTGCAATTAAAGACTACTTTATGCGGATTAAACATCCGATTGTGGGCCACAACACTGCCTCCAAGCAGCTGAAATCATGCAAGGACAAGGGCATTTTGATGGCATTGGTGGAAGTTGCGTTTGAGCACCCTGTCACCAAAGAAAACGTTTGCGTAGAATGCGATGAGCCACGGAAGCTCAAGGTGAGCTGCATATGGTTTTTGATCACATTGTGCTGCATTCTGCATGTAGGGACATGTCGTATCTCCTTGCATTGCCTTAGTATAATTATTTATATCTGACGTTTATGCATTTTCATTGGTAGACGATATGTCAAAGGGAGCAAAATTTTTACGAAAAGAAACGCGCCGCAAGGATTGCGGAAGCAAAGTTGTATGGCATCGAAAATACAAATGACGATCCCGAGATACAATCGGGAATTCCATTGGCGTATATTTCTGGAGAGAAGGTTGGCTTGTTTTGAATTCTCACCACCAGTTTCTGGCTGTCATTCTAACGTGTGTCATGTTGCTTTAGAGTTTCTGTGGTCTGCAGTTTATGGTTAGTAACCAGACGATGATACCACGTATATCCACGGAGCATTTAGTCCGCGCGACTCTAGACATTTACAAAACACGGCTTTTATCTGACGTGTGTCTCGACGCTAACGAAGCTGCGGATAATACCACAAAATCATTTAGAATACTCGACGTTGGAACTGGTTCGGGATGTATCTTGATAGCCATAATCCACTCGATCTTGTCTCTTCCTGAATACAATACAGCAAATGCAAGCATCTTTGGTATGGGAATAGATATATCACCACTAGCATTGGACGCTGCAAAGAGTAATGCGAAAAGACACTTACACAAGCAACAATCGTTGTACTGTTTCGCTAAAGGTAACATGGAGTATCTACACAATGATCCACTACTGTCTCAAAAGAACTTTGACGTCATTGTTTGCAACCCTCCTTATCTCGATATCACTAAGCCTTTACCTCCCAATGATCCAAGATCTCATGAACCATCGCATGCAATATACTGTTCAGAGGAAGGATACCAGTGCTATCGGCTACTATCGGAGAGCCTGGATAAATCTTTGGCACTAGGATCGCAAGTATTGAATAAGGAAGGTTTGGTTGTTCTGGAAGTTGGTGCTACAATGGCCAAGAAAGTAAAGAGGATATTCAACGATTGGTGCTGTATAAAAAGTATCAAGGATCAGCAAGGGTTCGAGAGGTGTCTTGTTTTTAGGCGTAATGAGTAGCACTGGCTGATTAAAGGCCGACATCGCTTCAGAGTGTAATTGTCAATCGATAAAGATGCATGCAAGTTTGTATGAACGCATAGGCGATCGATGCTAATAAGAAAAGAATGTCTAGTCGTAATTGGTACAGGTATGTTGATTGGAATTTACAATCAGGAATGGACAGAATGATTGCGAAAAAAGGCACAACGGTCGACGGATATCCGAGAATGGTTATGTTAAGCTAATTAATGAAGATAACAAAATGCCTAATAATGGGTTTGTGGCTCCCTGGCCGAAATGCCAAGAATGGTTGGTGGGTTGGGCCTATTATAGGGGAGAGTGACAAGTTTTTCCCGATATAGAACTTTGGTGCCCCTAAATAACTCTAATGCTTGGTCTGCAACCCTTAATAAAGGATACTATATTAAAGACAAACGTCGTAGTAGCGCAATGAAAATTACGATGTGAGACCTAAAATAAAGTTTTGTATTCCAGTCTATCAAGACATATTTTTTTTTTCCGGCATAAGCTAGGTTACGCAATCGATAATATGGCTGATGTCAAAAGAAAAAGATTGTGCGTAGCCAAGATTTTATGCTCACCATCGACGTCTGGTACCCGAGAACTCTACCAAAATGCTCTCTTGCTTTAACGCATACGTTTACGTGTGGAGATTGTGCTGAGAGTAAAAATGCACTTGATAAGCATCTCACGTTAATACTTTGCTACTTGAATAGCTTTAATCGCAAAGAACACATTTATTGAATCTAGAATGCTTAATTGTCAACTATTTTTTCGACCATTCTTTCGATTGTGAAGGTTGCTACAAAGTTTTGCAAATCTAACTCCGTCGAATTAACGCGTGCGGATACCGTTTACCTTGGAGAAAAGAGGACGGTGATGATTGTTCGTGATGTTAGTGAATGTTAATCGCAATTGAAGATGAATGCCTCAAAAGGGGAGGTTGGTTCCTATTAACTTTCAGTTATTTTAGCGCACCAAATGGAGTTGGCCGATTTCTAATCTTTGTGTTTATTTCCAGTTTGTGGCTTTATATTTACTATTTTTGGAAGGCGGAGAGTCAGAAAATTGCAATACAGTCTTAAATCAATTGTAAATTAACAGCAGCGAGCCATAAAGAATTAATATTAAGCTTATGTTATTTTTGAGTATTTGCACAACCGTGATATTATTAATATTCCGAGTTTCCAGATGCGGACGTTGACCTCCATTAATTGTTCGTCATTAGAAACGGGTTATAGTGTGGCTTAGAGAGGAATGCATTTAACCTTTCTACTAATATGATTGTAATAAAGAATGAGGTTAAAGTTATATGGAGCAACCCGTCTACCACCAAAAAAGTTATAAAAGACGTTTGGACTAAATGCAATGGCGAAAAAGACAATGTCTAGTACTTTATCCCACACCCAAGTGCGATATTTAATACAATGTGCGTATCACCTATTCACAAAAAGTATTGGTATATATAAGCATTTTATTTGTTACGAGTGACGACAATTGGTTTAGCTTATTCAAAGTAAAATAGAGATTTGTAGTCTTTATAAACACTATCAGCAGCTATGTTCACTTTAACGTAAACAACCAATAATATGTTTCAACAGGTTCCTAGATGGTATATTATCAGGCACTTTGTTGAACCTTTCTCCCTTAACGTCCGATTTTATTTGCAAGAAACGCAATAAGTTATCGGAGAGCACTCGGCTTATAAAGCTTGCGTAATTGACTCTCCAAGGAACCTGGTATCAACAAATAACGTGACGTTTACATTAGACAAATTGACGCTTTGATGAACTAAAGTCGAGATGAAGACGCGAATGAGGCGGTATGAGTTCGTCGTTTTTGTCGCGTTTTTTGTACCGTTAGCGTTTTTTATGTGGTTTTTTAAGCAAAGCGTGCCGAATCTGATTTATGATAAATAAATTTTGATATGGTATGAATACGTTTAACCACTTTAGATTGATATATACTGTATATGGGGGCATGCTGCACAAAACCAGACAAAGTAAACATTTGACTAGCATAGTACTCAGGAAATGTTCAGAAACAGAATCCATTCTTTTTTGACTTCAATTGGCAGCATGAGTTGATTTTCCCATCCAATCGTGTTTTGGAGACGCTGATTTTAGAAACCAATTCACTCATCCATTCAAGACATTGAAGATGTTAATAGACATTGCCATCCAAACTGATTCATTAGCAATATTGGCCTGTTTGGTCCACTATATTTTGTTATCCAAAGGCAAATAAAGTCACCACATCAAGAAATTCTCTCACAAAACCAATTCTGAAAGGTTTACAAAATCTCCTTGCGTTGTCGCTCTAATAGAATTTAAATCGCTAAAGTATTCAAGGTTAGGTGGGATACAGGATAACACCTGATCCTGACTTAGAAGGACTATAATAGAACGCGGGAAAGCCAAAAATCAAGTCAGGTTAACTTTAGCTAGTAACATATAAAAAAAACCATATTGCTGTGTCTACTTTATCCTGGTCTTATGTCCTCAACTCCGAGTCACAAAGCCGTTACTCCGGTTCTAAGAGGTTCCACAGACATTGAATAGTCCTTGCAAGTTGACATAATAGTAACCGCTTCTGCCTTCTGAGTGGAAATATGTACGCAGGGATGCCCTTTCGTCTTTTGTGAGAACAAGGCGCGAAATTTCTGGATACAGTTTCATGATAAACGAATGTTTATTATAAAAACAACACCAGTTTATTTACATTTAGCATAATTACCCCAAAAGAAGAACGATAGTGATATAACATTACAATCTCAAGTGCTTGGTTTGAGAGGTCAAACTCTGCCTCTTGCCATGGTCAATTTTAGTAAACACCCTATCTGTACCCATCACCCTCTCAGAAAGAAGCAATTTTCATATTAGATTGGCATTTTTCAACTACAAATTAGAGAATAATAATATTAACTCTTTATTTTGTTTGTTTTGTGTAGAACAAAATGGCGGTCACGGCAGAGAAAACACGTATTTTCAAGTTGGATCGTTACGTACAGAATCTTACATTCATTCTCTGCTGTTCTAAATTTTAATAATTAATTAACTATTTAATTCTAGCCTCTAATATAATCGCATAACAATAAGTATTTTCTCATTATCTCAATTGAACAATAAATTTGGCATTTTTAATTATTGATACTTTTGCGCGCTCTACTATATAAATAATATTTTATCAATTTAATAAGCTACTGATAATTAAAAGCTAAAACTAAAGTTTAATATCTGCTGGCATGCCGAGAGGGGGGGGAAGGGGAACATTTTTGTTATATTTACAGGAGCGGAATATTGATGGGAATTGTCTTGTAGTCTAATAGTAACATCTACATTACCTACCATAAATTACAGGCTTTTTGTCACGGATCAAAATGACCATTTCACACAAGGGGGGTTTTTTTACACCATGCATACCGTATTCGTAAGTCATGCTGCAAAGAAAAAGCTACAGTTAACTAAAAAACACGCAAAGTCGATTAAAATGGTGTAGAGAAAAGCAAGATTGGAATGAAGAATGGAAACAAATAGTATGGTCAGATGAGTCGAGGATTACTTACTCTCTTTAAGTCAGATGGTCGAGCAAAAGTATGGAGGAATAGCAGGGATGGCTTATAACAAAGATTGTATTCAGCCTACAGTTAAACTTGATGGAGGTTCAATAATGTTTTGTGGTGTTCTGGTTGGCGTGGGATTGGTTCCTTAGTATTATTAATTGACGGAAACATGGATTCCGGGGCTTATATTAACGTTCTAGCTAATCATTTTATACCTTGGACGAGAAATTATCCCGACTCAGTCTTTCAGCAAGACGGAGCGCCATGTCGTACTTCATATAGCGCTTGGTGGATGTCAACTCATGGTATTCGAATTTTAGACAGAGTCCCGACCTTAATCCGATTGAAATATTTAGACTGTCAGGTACATAAACGAAACCTCTGCCTCAGACGAAGCAGGATTTAGTAACAGCGATTTAAGGAATATTAGTTGCGAAATTTAATTACTGCACCGCACAGATGCTGTTATCAAGGCTAAAAGGTGGGAACACCAAGCATTAGCTTTTGACATTTGAAATTTTATGTATACAACAATAAAAACTGTAGTTTGTCGTGGAGAATTTTTCCGTTGCTTGATCACTTAGAAAAATACACACATTTCATATCTCTATTTCAACACGTGACACAAAATCCCGTAATTAGTATTTGCGCGTGCTTGAAAAAAAAATAATTCAAACTATGTCGTTAGCATCAGGGACTGTTAATCCAGCAATTGACAACTTGGTTCAATCCTCCTTGGAAAGTGAAAATAAATACTTATGGCTGCAATGGATTCCTTACGAGGAAATCACCAACATAAAGCCAACTCACATTGACAACGTTCATTACGCTATTTACAGGGATGATGAAACGACGATAATGCTTTCACTACTTGGAAATGATGAGATATGTACACCAACACTTGTGAGTGAGTTTGCTAGAAAATACTCACTTCCAACACACAAGTACAACAATGATGTTAATCAGTTCAGAAGACATTCCGTATGGCTTAAGAATCGCAACAGACTCATAAAAGGATTTACCGAATATGAAAATAAGTATTACATGGTTGCGAATGAACTCTTTTACCACTGCTATTCCCGATATGGATTCTGCTCTGCATGTGGAATACTCCGATGCAGTCCCGTGTGGTGCATCT